GGGGGGAGGGGAGGGGAGGGGATGATGAAGAACGGAAGGGGATGTGAGGTTTAAAATTCACACATTAGTCATCATGAAGTCACTGACATAGGCCACTAAAATTTAGTAAGCTCCGTTTTTTGTGGCTAAACAGTTTTGCTTCTCCTGTGTATTAGCTAATGCTTGAAGAAAAAAAAAAAGCATTCTGACCATTCCCAACTTCAACATTTACACCAATTACTTTTATTGTATTATTCTAATGAAAACAGAATTGCTACCCTTGGCATATTTTAGATCTAGATCTATTTTAAAAGGTAAAAATCACACCCCCCAATATTGTTGAAGTAAATCATGTGTGCTTATTTAGGTTTACCCACAGAGTTACAAGCAATTCGTTCAGCTTGGTTTAAACAAAATAAAAACTGAAGAGTTAAAAACACAAGGTCACTTAACCTTCTTCCTGGTTGATTTACTTTTAGTTAAAATTGTAACATTTTACTAAGCCGTACCAATTCTGACCATACTAGGAAAGTGTCTCTGGCACAAGTGGTTTTCAGAAGAAAAGCTGGTCTTCCCAACAGCTTTTTCTTCTGCTTCATCTTAAAGTGCAGAAACTGTGGGAAAGGATAACAAGACTTCCTGTCCATCACTGTGGAACTACTTCCCTTAGAGAGGCTAAGGCTGCGTGTATGCGGACGTGCAATCTGTTCTCAAAGTCATAGCCAGTAAATTCCTCCTGGGAGAAAAAAACCAAACAAACAAAACATAACTATTAGCCTCCTTCACTTATGATATGAAGATAATTTTACTACTAACGTTTAAGAAGTCATGTTACAAAACAGACCACAGAAGAGAGGTGAACTGGAGATTGTATGTTGCAATATCCCCGCATTACCCAATGCAACAAAACTACAGAAATTCCAAGTCGGTGAAGAGAGGAGAAAGCTTCCATTTCCAACATGCTGTTTGGATCCCATGTAGTTGAACAGCACCTGGAAAGTTCTGCAAGTCCAAAAGCTCTAGAAAATCCCAACATGTCCAAGGTAGGAACCAGTTGGAACAGACAAGGAGTGGAGAGTTGTCATTTTCAAAACTTTCTGTAGCCAAATCTTAGTTGAAAAACTTGGCAAGGTTCTAACACCCCAGGAGAGGTCACTAATGTGGGCTCTGTGCCATAACTCACCTAAAAATACGTATCTACGTAACATACATAAATGTGTATCAGGTACATGAATGCACATCTACGTGACAGTGCTGTAGATTGTAGGTGAGGGACACCAACACTTACCATCTACTCCCCCTGCCCCAAATACACAACCTCTCAAATGCCCACATCTCAGAAAGATAAACTTGAAGTGTCTTAGTTTTTACCTTGGCTTGGAGAAGTAAGGTTTTGCCTCTTGGCACAGTCTACAAAAAGACAAACATTGCATTAGAAATGCATTGCAAATGTTACAGAAAATATCTTAAGTATATAACCTGGTCAGTCCGGAATAGCATCTCTATCTTCAGAGCAAGGTACCGAGCAAACAAAACCCTCTCAAATTAGGAAACTAGAAATACTAATGAGGCACCCAAGAAATGCAGTACTACGTATTCCTAATCTTCTACAGAAAAAGAGAAATTACAGCTTTAAATGCAAGTTGCTACTGATGATAGCAAGCTACAACAACGCACAGGGAAACAAACAAGGCTACAGATAAATGACTAATTGATCAATAGAGTAATTTTTGTTTGTTAACCAAAGTTTAAGACATTTGTTTACAAAACAAGTTACCGGATTTTAAGCATTAAAAGTTGTTTCAGAAATCTCAATTTCAAAGTCTTAAGGAAAAATATATGTATTTGCAGATTAATATTTACTACTGAAAAACTCATGGTTTATTTCTTATGGTACATTTTATTTTAAGCCTTACAAATAAACAATCAACTGCCTGATAAAAGCCAGAAAAATTAAGTTTTCTTATACAAATATACCTGAATATGAACATATGTACTTGTATTGGTTAAATTACATTCAGTGTCTAAGAAACAAATATCTGTAAACTTCTTGACATAACCACATTAAAATATTCAAGAACTTGATTAGAACTAAGTTTAAAATAACAAAGATGATTCTGATGGCATGGTAGATCAAACAGGTAATTAGGAGTAATTTTAAAGCAAAGTAAATTTAATATGCTTTTTATACTAAGATGCACATTAATTTCTCGACCTGTTGCTCAGATCTTTAATACAATCAGCCTCTCAGGTAAATGTTATTTATAAAATCCTATTCCCTTCTCTTTCTTAACCATTACAGAGCTCTCACATGACACCTCAGCGAGTAAATGGAAATTTCTATAAGTAGCATCCACTCACCTCTAATTCTAGGTCTTGCTTTTCCCCACCTCATCCCATTTTATTCCAGTCAAGCATCATTTACCTCCTCGTTGTCTGAGTGCCACAAGAGGGAGTCTTCTGCATGTCTTTCACGTACTAAGCGCTAGCATAGCTTCTCAGTACAGTTACAAGCCGAGGCTTGTTCAGTCCTCAAACACCCAACACTAAGCATGTTCGGTTACTGTGTGCACATACTACAAGTAAGGCAGGGAGGGAGGAAGGACTGCTTCCACATTCTCAAAATTTTCAAATAACTTCACTACTCACCACACCTTTTTTTAAGAGACATTTGACATGATCAAATTTTAATATGAACATGGAAAAAAGGCAACAGGAACATTAGTGGACTCAGACCTCCCTACCAGGTTTCAAGGTCCAGGTCTAAGTCATAGGGCATCAGAGTTTGCCCTCTTTTATTTTTAAAAGCGTTTTTAAAAAGCGTTTCCTAGGGTTTTTTTAAAAGCGTTTCCTAGTTTTGTCCTTTGTCATGACAATCATTTTTACTGAAAATTTTCCTTTCCTTCTCTCTTTAAGGGGAAGGTTCAGCTCAAATTATTAAATCTGACAAGATTAAAAACAACTGAAAACGGAATCTTAAGATTATGAGATACAATCAGCACAACTACTGTATAGTCTACATACAGTGATGTAGGAGTTCAAGTCATTACCCTGAAACCACTTCCCCTAATTTGCAATCTGATTCAGGAAGTACGACAAAGTGGCATGAACTCCAAGTAGCGGTCTTACATGTTTGACGAGGGACACACCACCAAGAGTGGTGCAGAAGTTGCCCTAGTTTAAAATTCCCTGGGCACCCTAGGAGACAGAGTATGTGGAAAGACCTGAACAATTAAATGTATCATCAACCAAGCCATTTGGACAGTCCAAAAAGCCAGATGAATTATTTTCCTCTTCATCCTGAACAACAAAAACCTCGCTACTCAGCGTGAAAGCCAAAATGCCAACACAGCTTTAACAGAATTTAAATGACTGAAATCACTTTACTTATACATCCCCTGCAACAAAAAAGTACGATAGCATGCGTGCCCTCAGTCCAGGTAGGTTTCCAAGATGCACCACCGATGTGCAAGACTAGGAAGATATCTGTCCTAAGAGCGGGGATAAAGAATCCCAAAGTAAAAAGACTTTTGACAAATACCATATTGTTCCAAATATGAGTTTGATCCCCAAAACACGGAGCTATTTTAGGAAGGCACCAAATTCTATTAGGAGAGGATAACTACAGGTAATCTTTGAGCTCAAACAGCATCCAACAGAAAAAGAAATACATAAGGAAAGGATCCCAGGCACTCACCACACTAAATACCACCTGCAGACAATAAATCTGTGCCTACCTAAGGCATTCTTGCCAGGCCTCTGCTGCCACCAGCAGCAGGAACACTAAGGCAAGTGAAGGGGCAGAGAGGCCTTTGTGTCTTGAGGGGTGATGTAAGTATTTCCATACCCCAGTACTCATATATACTCTTTCTATAAGGCACATACAAAAACATGGGCATCATGGCACGATCAGAGAGGTGAAAAGTGAAGTCTTTGTGGTGCTTTTGAGGGTAATATACTAAATAATAAAACAATGTGGTGCTACACTCATCAAAATTCTTGCTTTACTGCTTGCTGTAGGTTTGCAGACATACTCATTTTACTGCTAGAGAAAGACATCACCAATGGTCAGGAATGAAACAGCTGCCCTGAAGAACCCCAGAGAGTCACAGGTTCTGTTTTTTTATGTAAAAATGAAACCCAGTAACAACACAACAAGTCATTAGAGTGTTATCAGCAGATAACTAAGCTCCTAAGTATGTCCTTATAGCTCTCGATATTGAAAAATTAAGACATTGTTACCTTAAACACACTGCATTTCTTGGTTTGCAATAAAAGCAAAGTAGTAAGTTTCTCTATGGTAGGTACAAAACAAATTTTTGTAACTTAAAATACATTATCATTTATAAACTTCATTTATTTGTATAATGGTATGTTGACTCCCCACACTAATTTTAAGAGATTAAAAATAGGTTATGCTATTACCTCTGGATTGTCTAACAGAAGACAGCCAAGTTCATAGCAAGCATATGGCTGGACGTATAAATTGTTTTGACGGCACAGTTCATCTTTAGCAGCTCGCTGAAAGAACTATAAAAATCAAAGAAAAAAACCAATGTAGTAATACATTAAAATTGACTGATACTTAAAAAAATCCAGAAGCACTGTTCAACTTTAAACACTAGAAATTAGCTCAAAGCTAAACCGAGAATAAATTTAAAACTTCCAATGGCAGAGATTCTTTAAACAAGAATGCAGGGGTTTTCACTGACACTAACCTACCAAGGCAAAACTATTTGTTTGGATTTTTATGAAGTAAATATATTGACTGTTTCAAGAGTTTTCCAACTTCACATTGAAAAAATACAAGATCTAATGAGGAACTTTAACATTAGAGATTAAGTACCCAGATTATTTAAAATATACTTGAGAGAGGCAGAAAATAAAACAAAAGAAAAAAGATTTAATGCCAGCATCAGCTCCCTTATTGCTTATGTGAATTGCATTCTACTTTGGCAAGGAAAAAAAAAAACCCAATTGTGCCTACAAACCAAAGCCTGGAGCGGTGGCAGAATTATTCTTTGGTATGTGCTAAAAATCAAATCTCTCAGGTCTGGGGGAAAAGCAGCAAACCCATGCTTCTGAAAGGTCAATTTCCAAGTTGTTGCGGATTTGGGTTTTTTTTTGGTTTGGGGTTTTTTTTTGGGTTTTTTTTTGTTTTTTTTTGTTTTTTTAAAGTTGAATTTTCTATGTTGGACAAAGTAAATCCAGCAGAGCAAATAACTCTTCCGTTCTTCTTCCCAGCTTCCCCTTAACTCTTGCTCCTACAAGCCACTTTAGCTACTGTGGTCATCCAACATAGCCATTTACTTTTACAAGATAGAATATAATGAATACACGCTAAACAGAAGATTTGAAAAGAACCTGACGCGCTCGGTTGGAATTCACAAAACAGTATGATCAACAGTACTGAAAACTGATGGCTTAACACTCTTACTCAACAACATTTACTGTTTAATAGAATAGGTTATAAAACAAGATTAACAGTGTAAATTATCATTTAACAACTTACCTGAACAGCATCTTCAGAATTTCCTAAGCATTTGTGTATGGCACCAAGAAGCAAATTCCTCAAACCAACAGCTGATGAATCATCAACATCCTGACAAGCTTAATGAAAAGATTCCAGTAAACAAACAAGACGGATTGAAATCCTTCCGTAGACAACAGTTGCGGTCTACAGTGACTTTTAGTCCAATGATTAAGTTTAACCAGAAAAAGAAGAGGCTAGTAACATTATGATAAATCAAAGTAATTTGGTTTCTTTTAAATATAACCCATTTTGTATGAACCTCATCAAGCAATCTGTCACTCATGAGAACAATTCCTAACAGAAACAAATGGGCTGAAAGTCAAAGGCAGTTGGTGTGTTCTTCTCAAGAGGAGAATCCATTTCTCCACCAGTCTTTGAAATATCCACTAAAAGGTAAAGTTAAGAAACAACCACCTCCTCCTGGTGTTATGGAAAACTAGGTTGTCCCAGATACTGAAAGGAAAATACGTAGTCCAATTTACAAGGAGCACAGGACAAGCAGTGCAGACTTGTTCTGAACTGAAGCAAAGTGATAGATGCACAAAAATCTGTACTGGGCTTAAAAACCCAGACTAGAGTATTGTGGCATCACAATTCTCAACGCTGATGAGAGGATAAGGCTTATTTGCCAGACTTTAGCTGGCCAGGGACATACACTGCCTCAGCTGAGTAGTGCTGTTTCCAGAAAGAACTGAATCGCACAACCATCTCTCGATGACTCAGGCTCCATTTTGATCAAACTTATTAGCGCCAGCTGTGTTAAATCAGTGCTAGTTCCATGAGAAGCCATTTGCACTTGTCTGCACCACTGCCTCCAGAAAGGCCGAGGTGCAGGGAGGCCTGCAGGGCTCCTCATCTTTTCAGAAGGAGCTGAACTGCTGTGCCTGGAATGGTAGAGCTCCTTCAACTTCACATTCTGCCTCATCTCATAAACCCTGACAGATCTTAACGAGCTCCGCGTTCACAACACAGTTGATCCACAACCCAAATAAACCACCTATGAATAACTAGGAGTTGGCTGCATGAAGTATTTGGACGCTACACAAACACAAGGCTGTCAACTCACCCTTGTATTGCAAGTCTCAAGTTACTTGGCTTTTTACTTACAGAGATACATGTGGATACAAATTAATTCCTTTATTTTTAAGTCTGCTTCTAGCCCCGAGGAAAAGCCTGGAAACTCGCTACAGCAAATTACACTCCAATTACTCAAGAGAAGAGGAAGCACATAAAAAATAAATTTCCTACCATCTCGTAATTCTGAGATACACATAGGGCACAGCAATAACACTGTCACTGTGCAGAAAATCTTCAGTCAGGGATCGCTGATGCAGACACATCTGTCAGTGTCAGACTTTACGAGAAGTGTAGAAGAGTTTTAACCTATACTGCTGTTTACATTAAAAAGTGCACCACTAACGAGAAGCTTATACAAGAACTGCATTGCTTCTGAGCATCCAGGAAAGAAGGGCATATTCTTTACAATCTCTAAAGCTGATTGGTCTGAACGCAAGTAACAAAAAAAATTGTGACATTTATTATTATGTAAGTAAATCTAATTTTAAAGCCTTCACCATTATCTTTGGGACTAGAAAACTAGGGATCTGAATGTAACCCACCACTATCACACAATTTAAATGGAAAAGTTACCTTAAAAACAAAACAAAACCTGCAAACTAGTCCTGACTCTTGACTTAAAGACTGGTAGTTTTCTCACTTAACATAAAAATCATGTACAATCCCCAAAAGTTCACAATTGCAGAAAAAAAGGAAGCATCTCCGTGGCAGACATTTTTGGTTTTATTTGCTAAATGAGCAGGTAATAACTTGAAACTGTTTGCAGAACACAAACAAGACTGATCGCCAGATGGAGGAGTAATGAAAACTTCATGATAAACACTGTTACCGCAAGCTTCACGTGACAGACATCCAAAGACATCTGGAGACTAAGAAAGAGGCAACCATAAAATGCTCCTTTCACCACTAAGATGGTCCCAGCAGCCAAGATAAACAAAATCCTCATCATGTCATAGATGACCTCATAAGCCACATACTTCCTCTTAGAAGAAAACTGACATGCAGAAATTAATTAGTAGTTTTCGGTTTTTTATTTTGTAGCTAAGTTTAAATGAGTTAAATTTTGCTTAGTGATTTTGAACAATAGCTATCACACTATTGTTTCATTTTAAAAAATGGGCAAACATAACTGATTAAAAAAACAACTATATGCAGCAAGGCAGTTAAATGTCTCCCAAAAGCCTATAAAAAAAATCATAAAAAAGAAGCATTAAGCTGAATCTTAATGGGTCCATTGTTAAACAAACTGTTCTGCTGTCACACACACACACAGGTTTAAATTTTCACGCTACAACAATCAGCTACTCCACACAACAGAAGAAAATTACACACCTCATTAAAAGAGTAAATAAATAAAGGAACCATATTATACCTTGGCTCATATGTTGTAAGTTCGACAGGGAACAGTTTGGAAGGGCTTTCCATAAGTACAATACTTCAATGGATGCCAGGACACAGAGCTCTTTGGTCGGCATTTGTTTCCTAAATCTATCTGCCTACAAAGTGGGGAGAAAGAGGGAAGGGAGATCTGTCATCTATCCTTTTACAGGGAACATAATAGTCACAAACAATATATCACAAACAGTAATTCTGCTTCATGAAAGCATCCAACAACTATGAAAATAAAGTCGGTGGTAACTTAGCTTAAAGACTAAAAAGCAAAATCTTTCAATTAATTTAAGGGCTTACATATCAATCAAAGTTAAAGCTTCCCTGTATGCAGCCTAGATTTGTTTTATTATATTTCACAATCCCAAGTACACACTGACTGGATGCTGAAGAGGTAACATCTGCAAGACCATCGGTTGGGAGATATTTCCCAGACAATTTCTAGCTTTCAAAAAAGAACTAAGGCTTTGACAAACAAGACAAGATAAAAAGAAGTAGGAAAGGCAAACCTAGAAGGAAAATTACGCAAGCAACTACGGCACCATGTATTTTTATCTTTAATAATTACTTTAAAGTGAATAGGCAATTCACATTTCTTTTGCTAGGTCCTTAAAATACATGACACCATTGTTTTTCCACCTGAATCCTTCCCACTAATTCTACAGAAGCAACACAGGAGAAAACAGATACATCTGTCAAAAATAAATATTGGTAAAGAATCCAAACACAATTACCAAGAGTAATTACTGCACTGAAACAAGTCAGCCTATGCTAAACCAAACCTTTTTCACTGAAAATTGTTCAATCTGATTGTTTTTTCTTTTGAAAAGTTTCTGAACTTCCTTGAACACATTCTGAGCACCGTTGACATCACCAGTGGCTCCTTGACATACTGTAAGAACACAGAAACAAAAACATGTTAACACTACTGGGATATGAAACTAGAAAAATTAAGATTAGACATCATACAGTCACAGGAAAAAACACACTCACTTCCAGAAAGGACCTAAACTGGGGATCTGACAAACATGCAAATCCCAACTCTCCCAGGTACCCTCTGTGATCATTAACAAGTCAGTGCTTCTTTTTCATACCCACTAAAGTATGAAGAACTAATACCACCCAACCTCTATGGGTTTATTTATTAAATCTTTGCGATACACTGTTATATGACCTGTCACTACACTGACAATCACAACTGCTTCTACATCTAAGAGAGGGAAGCTGGGGGCGACAGGGGAGAAAGTACTTATGCGCACGAATGTGCGTGCATGCAAGTGTACATTACATAAACAAAGTCATGCAAATCAAGTCTGGCATAAAGCTGCATAAGCAGCAGGCAGCGTGGAAGGCACTTCGTGCACTAGTAAGTTTCCCAAAACAAAAAATAGTGCTAAAACCTTATCACATCTCTGATTTATCACTTATCCAACACATTGAATATACTCACCTGCTGTTAAATAAGCGTAGTAGCACTGCGACCACCTGGATTCATTTTTAAGCCTTTCAAAGGATTCAAACGCATCTTTGAAATTCATCTCTATCATGCTGCACCAACCTAAAAAAAAAGACTAATTTAATTTCAGAGAATGTACAGTAAGTCAAATTTGGTGTCAACGTTACCAAAACACACAGTCTGTTATGACAGCTGGAGCTAGTTTAACAGTTATACCAACAACTGAAAAAGTTAAAAGTGAAACAAATCAATGACATACATTTAAAGCCTGATTTAAGTTTACTAGGAAATGTTGTAAGATTCCATACAAAACAATGAATCCTCTTCAGAGCAACAACAAATCTAGAGAGACACCAAAATTTGTTTTATTTAAATACTGTATTTTGTAGGATGCTGAAACTTACAGAGCTACTACTTGCTCCCTTATTCTTCCCCACTGTGAAAAGATCGCTTAATGAGACACATTTAAAGCTTGAAGCAATATATCTTCTCCACTCTAAAGACTTGTATTCAAATTAAGAACATACAGCATATATTGCTACTGATAGAAGGAAATGAACATGAAATACAGGTCCTGCAAACCGTGAAGCTTCACTAGACAATCAGGTTTTGGCACAGCAATGGTGATTCCACAGACAAATCAGATGAGTTAATTTCTCATTTTAAATAATATTCTGTAGGTGAACAGTTTACCCGTGATTCTATAGTCTACTCTCTGATTTTGCATCACCTTATATTTGCAGAAAACTTTAAAGTTATGAAGAGTTGTTGAACTTTACTTGCCCAAACAAGAAGACAGGATTATTACCATGATCCACTGAAGACAAAGGCCAGTACTCCAAAAACCTTTTTTTAAATCTTAATAATCCATTTTGTTTATTGAAGTTACTAGTCTAAACTTGAAAGTGAGCTATTTATAGTATAAAAATATCCAACTTACCTATTTCATATAAGCAGACATGTTGAATCTCCCTTTGGTCTGTTGCAAGTTCCAAAGCGGTATGAAATGAGGTCAAGGCACTATTGATTTGACACTAACAAAAGTGAAAGAAGAAAAAACATTCAGATGTCTGAAGTTTCAAATTTGTTGGATAATTTGATTTTGATAAAGAAAACATGCAGATTTGTGTTAATAGTTATTTAAAAATAACTATATGGTTGAAAAAATAATAATTGAAGTGTCTTACAGGCTGCAGGCTCTGGTTTGATTAGATGAAAGAGGCACAATATCCCATTGAGATGAAAGCCTCAAAATTCATTTCAGACTCTAGATTATTTTAAATGAGCTAAAACCCACCATAAAGCTAACAGTCTGAAGAAGGGCTAATATTTATTCAATACACAACCTCCACATTGCAAGTCCTTTGGCCAGCTTCCCTCCTCCCAGCTCTCTCAACCTGATCACTTTTGAATGGAAGTATGGGCAAATTATGACAAAGCCTTTATTTACAACGATAAAGAAGCATCTTAAAGAGGTCCCATAGTGAACTGATTTTACCATATATTTCATATTCATGATATGAAACAGAATACAAAAGCCAAATTATAAGAGACAAGGGAAGTCAGAATCACTACTACAAAGCAACTCAGATTTATATTTAAATGAAACTTTAGACAAGAATGCAAAGCGTTTGCTTGCAAGGTACTACCAATCAGTTCTACCATGTGCAACAGTAAAAATTAAAAAACATACGGTAATGAACTTGCACTCTAAAAGTCATATAAAAAGAGAAATGTAGAACGCTACAGAGTTAAAAAAGGGCAGATGGGGATAGTAGGAGTTTAATAATGTAATAACAATCACCAATAACTTACAACCAGTTCAGATCACCTCTCAACCTTAAAAATCAGTGGCTGTATTCCTTCTATTTGCTATTGAGTCCAGAATCCATTGGTTTTGTGCAGTAAGCTTTTGAGTAACCTCATTTCTACTCTTATTAGTCATTCCACCTTTAAGAGTCATGTATTTTAGCATCTGCCCATAAAGTTTAGCTTTCTGCACAATAAGGGTATCTTTAATGTTTGATTTTATTTTGAACTATCTCCTCTTTTTCCATATCCCTCAGTAACGACTTTAAGCAACAGTTAACAGAGAATTCGTGAATGCTGCATGACATGTAAGAAGACACAGAGGCATATAAGATAAAAAACCATTTTGATAAAATGATTAGTTACCAATAGCTTAGCAAAAAGAGGTTGACAGTTTTCTAAGAACCAGAATGAGTTCTTTTGACTACCTTAATTTCTAGTGTTCCCAGTCTAGGATGGGACTCTCCGTAACAATCATAAAGGGGGGTTGCAAATCAATATTTAATTAGTTTTATACACAGACACACTATATATCCCAATATAATTATAATAGTTTATACAACAGAAGAATCTTTAAGCCACTCTCTGCTGGCTAAGCATGTAAGTAAAAGAAACCCTTGAAAAAGCAAGCCTGTCATCAACACAAGCATAACTGAATTCAAAAATTCCTGCAAAAGCCTGCAGCGTTGTATCTTAAGACCACACACAGAGCTCTAAAGTGATTTTATTAGATTTCCCTTTTTCTCTCATCAGGGGAAACTGTTTTAGTTGCTAAGGAACAATTTAACCGTAAATCACATATATTGCATCATGACAGTACGACTAACTACCAACAAAGGGATCCATAGCTGTACCGATATAAACACTGTACACCTAGAAAATAAAACGGTGATTTGACTAAGATGTTTGTTGGCATGACAGAAGAATATACTACACAGAAAGACAGGCGAGTTATATTTGCTCTCAAAGCTTCCAGGGAGCCTGAGCAATGTACACCTTTGTTTACTTTTGTAGCAGCATATTCTCTCCACTACACATTACTCCATTGATGCTGCGTCACTCCAAGACGACTTCCTGTAAAATAAGTGTTATGAGCCCAGCCTTACAGAAAAAATAAAATAAAATAAAATCAGCTTAAAACTTTATCTTTGCATTAAGAATTTTAGAAGTTCAGTAAGTCTATGTTTTGAATGCTTCCGAGGAAAATGAAAAAAAAAACCAACCTAAATATAAAATCTAAATATTTAGTCCTCTGTGAAGATACTTTGCCTTCAAAAAACCTAAACATTTGAAAATATAAATCACTTATTGTAGTGCATGTTATTCCACACAATGAATCATGGTGACTACATCACTGCCTGCAATGCCATACACCAGCCTGGAGCAGCACGTGAAATACTGACTACCTAGTAATACCTAGTCCAGTTAGTTGAATATTCCATCTTCAATAATCTATTTCTCTAGCTGTCTAGATCTCTCAAGTTTTTTGACATCTGCCTAAGTTTTCCTTAAGCATCAAGCTCAGTAAGTATGTTTCAGAGACATTCCTTAATAATTAAAGTCTCGATCATCTCCAGGGATTGTGACAACAAGCTGGAATATATTTCTACTCTTAGTGTTGATTCTTAAAATAAATTAATTACTATCCGTTTACTGTTTCAGAGAATAAACAGGAAGAATTATAAAGTCCCAAAAGTCTGCAAGTATAACATTATGGCTGACACTTGAAATTGATGTATTTGAGATCTAAAAATATATATTACACACACGCTTGTAATTCTTTCAACAGGCATCACTCATGCCTCTCTTGGATATAATACAAAGACAAAAAAAGGTAATTCCACAAAACGTGTAACATACAGAACTAAATAAGCATAAAGAGAATCATTAAAGCTAATGTGAGAACCATAATCTTACATTTCTTGACTTCAGACTAAAACCAAAGACACCCCAACCTACCAACTAAGCATCCACAGAGCTTACCAAGCCAAGTCGGATTCCCGAGCCAACACATTTTCCACCCAGAGTTGTTCTCAAATCTCAGGACACTCTCCCTCTCCCAGGACCTTTCTATTCTCAATCAGCACTACAAATTTGTAAAGCTTTTAAGAAGACATGCTCATAATGAAGGGGAAAACAGGAAACAATATCTAAAAGGGGACAATTTACGCTGGAGGACACGTAGGGAAATTTTAAAGCCTGTATTTTCTATTGCTTAACACACACTCCTTTTTCCTGAGGCACAGCACAAAAATCAAAATAGAATAAAACTAGGATTCTGCATTTTATAGCCTTGAACAAGTAAGTAGAGCGGCCAGCACAATTCCTGAAAATGAACCTTGGCATTACACAAGCTCTGAAAATTTCTTTGCTTAAGACATCACTGTGACTTTATTCCAGACAATTCATTTAAGACTATTCAATACTTATTATTACTCTTGCCCTCAGCCTACTTTTCTGTGCCATACCCTCCCACTCCAAAATAAGAAAGATACCACTGATACTAACATGTCTACAAAAGGTAACTAAAACAGCAGGAGTACTTGTCAGCAGTATATTTAAGCTCGCAATACCACTGCACATTTTCCACTAGCCTGCACATCAAACACACTGTAGCACACCTGAATGTACCACTGGTGTTTTGCCTGTCAGCTGGAGTATTTGATATGTTTTTGTTCAGACTCTTAACATGCACCAACTGAGCTCTACAGATCAAGCATCAGAACCTGAGATTTTTGCCCCAGCCAGAGAAATTTCTTCTTGTTTATATATGCACACCTGAAGTCTGTTCCCAATCTGTTCCCAAGAGAAGCAATCTTGCCCAGTTCACAATTTTGTCAGACTACTTTTGCTTTTTACCCTTACCGCGCTCCACATGAAGCTATCAGCTATCAATCTATTTAACTATTTCTGAGTGGTGTGATTTGTACTATTTAAAAAAGCAGATAGAGATTTTTAAAAAAGTGTTGCTGATTAGAAAAATAAATTAAAAAAGGGAAAGCAAAACTGCAAGCTAAAAAAGCAGAAACGCGTAAGATTCAGAACATCACCTTTCACTTTGCCTTCTTCCACGCTACCACCATGCCCATCTTTCACTAGTGGCCGCAATGCCATGCTTGAACAGTCTAAGTCACGGTTTTAAAAGTAAAATGGTATTTATTAAACATAATTATAATATTAGACAAGACACATTTAGCAAATGGATGGCAATATTATTTATTTTATCAGTAATAAGAAAGGCCCAAGGGTACAGCTGGAAACTCTGGTTTTCAGACCAGCGGATTTCAGCAGCTATTATACTCATTACATTTTTAAGTACCCTTTAGGCACAAGCATAAAACATTATTCTCATTTGGTTTTAGTAGCTTAAGCTTACATGAAACATCATTATCAGCTTTAGTGGGAAGTACTTCAAAGATACAAATAGTCAGACATTCACAAATACTTGTGAGGCTGGAATACATACCATACAACCACAAGTCAAGCACAGCAATAGTTATGCCCATAAAAACAGCCTAAGTAAATTATGTAAAAGTCAAGAAAAATGCTACTTTTAATACACAGTCTCTTAATCTACTCTTTGAAAAAGAGACAGCCTACCGGCGCAACCTTTAACTTTCTGGTGCACTTTCATTCCAGCCTTCCCAGATCATCCTCCTCTCCTTTCCCTCAACTCATTCATTTCAATAGTCTCCAAACGCTTTCAGACTTCATTTTTCAAAAACATGAATCTGGGAAAAAAGTTGAAAGATAATTTGGTCCACGTTTGTAGTACCTATAAGGGTACTTCGTAGAAAACCAAAGTCTGTTAAGGCTTCTATTGACTAGTATTTACACACACTTTTTGGAGCACAAAGCATTATATAGTCACATGTTCTTAATTTGTCTTTCATAGCCCTGTCACTGCGAAATCTTCCTTCCTCCTTGACTGCCTTCCTTGGCAATTGTCTCCTTTGTCAGATTTGTCTCACTGTCAAGTCTTGCATGACTGCTTCTGCCTTTAGATCAGTTTCCCTGCTTCCAGGTGCCCATGGCTGAACTGTGCTCCTTACTGTTTCTTTTTTCCATTGAAAAGAAAAAAATCCACACATACACATAAATAGCTCTGTGGGTGCGTGTACCTACAGTATCATACACACACACTTCCTTGCCAAGAGAAGCTGACTATACCATCAGCTGAAAGTTACACAAAACGTATGTGTCTGTAGGACAAAGGCTATAAAATAACCCTGATGGACTGAGTGCTAGTAGGCTCTAACACAAAGCCTACAATGAGCATTATTGATTCTTATTTCCAGAACACACAAGTTCTTCTGTATAACAACATATAAGCTGCCTTTCATCTGCGTACAATTAAATTTTAATCACAGAATTGTTAAAAGATTACAGATGTTAAAGACTATAAAATATACAAGGTTCAGCTCAAGGTATACACCACATTTTCAAACATCTGCCTTCACTAATATGTCAACAACATTGATGCAAATTAAGTTTGCAAATTCCTAACATAGTCTACAGAAGAGCTTGAGATACTTAACCAAAACATTTAGACACAGCAAAGCCTCAGTGCTGCTGTACCAGTTAGAACAAAAGCGTGACGGGGGAACAAACAAGAAAAACCACCCCACAGCAACAAAAAAACCCACACCAGTACAAAACAAAAAAAAAAATAGAGGGGGTCCTGAATGGAAAAGCTCTCACGCAAATACATGAATAGGGACATTTAATTCCTGTTAGCAACCAATAAGCATTCTGCTGACCACGGGTATGGCTACATAGCATAATCCATAGCATTCTGCCTGCCTCAGCTAACTAACTGCGCTATCATGGCCACACAGTCTACAGCACAAACTATTTCACTTGGAGCTAAATTTCGATGTCTGCACACAGCATCATTCAATGCACAAATACTCTGAGATAACAAGTGAAGAACACTGCTTTGAGACATAACAGTACTCCAGAAAGGGACTGACTATACAAAACTGACACTCATCCCAAACCTATCCTCTGTATTTAAGCATAGAAACGTGTGCTCAGTTTATTGACAACTATGTTTACAATTTTGCCCTAGCTTGCCCTGAAAGTCATAATAATCATATAATAGTTTAATTTTATTCCTTATGACATTAAACACGAAAAAAGTTCCACATACCAAATCACACTCTGGCAATCAAAATATTTACATTTTTAACTGCACTTGCATTCATACACATCTAATTGAACCAAGACCAGTAAAATCTTTCCCACTCAGAAAACAGCAATACCTCCCAAAGACTTCCCAAGCTTGCCTGTGACAGTGTAATTCCCCAAGTGGACTTTTGCACTCAGAAAAACAGCAAAAAAAAAGTAAAACAATATTCAAACCCCATGCAAGAATATGCCTGCAAAATCTGATAGGCCACAGAAACGTGCCCCCACTGTTCTGCTACTGTTGTTATCTCCCTCAAAATAGTAAATTGTATTTGAGAGAGTTAACTGCAAACCCTAGCAAAAAATGACCATCAGTGTTAAAATCTGGATTAGCTCTTGTAATTATGATGTTGAGATGAAGGGTTTGAACATTCTGGTTTTGTGCTTTTGTGTTGGGTTTTCTTGTTACTCTAATTGCTCTGGAAATATTCTAGTCTGATAAGAGCAGCAGCCAGAAGCTGAGTAGTTTGAGGTACTCATCACCATCTTGTATTATCACAGAGTCTTAAAGAGTAACTCAGCCAAAAGCTACTAGGCTGCTGCAGTGTTTGAACAACACTCTGCAACAGCATTCACAAACACATTTTTGGTGAATAAGTTTCTGCTTGGGTCAGAGCTCACTTTTAGCAACAGAAAATAACCTGGTTTGACCTCGTAAAAGCCAAAGCCGTTATCTGAGGGAAATTAGTGCAGAGAATTAGCTGTACATGAACAGCACATAAAATGAAAAGCAGAAGATAAATACTATGTACTCAGCAGATAATAGTCAGATTTTAGCTTGACAAGCAAAACTGACATAGCTATTTATACCACAAGAAACTCAGGAGTGACCAAAAGCACTTCCTTTTAGCACCGAGCTACAAATGTACCAAGTAGCTGAAAAAAGAATTTCAAAGTGCCATTAATTTGATTAGAAGTAGTGGAAAAGCAGGTTTGACATGTGAATTTGAAACTAGGAAGGAGTTAATCCTTTCTTCTTACTTATCTTTGTATGTATCTGTATCTTTAGGCACAATTTACTGAAGCTGCAAGTTCATTCACATCAGGAAAACATAAAATAAGGAAGGCGGCGGGGGGGAGGAGGGGAGGTGGAATTAGTCAAAAGGGAGAAAACATGCAGTACCTCTAATCGCTGTATCCTTCCCTTGAAGAACATGAACAGAGAGGAATTTGGATAAGCAGATTCCTTTTTTGCAAGAATTTCTTTTGCCTCTTTCAACCCTGCCTTGTTATCGCTGCCATCAAGGGCAAAAAAGGGACGAACAACTGTGTGGTACCACAACAGAGCTAATCTAAAAGAAACATAAAAGTCAAAAGGATTACAGCTCGTAAACAGAAAATTGAGGATAACGTTCTACGCAGGTAAATTTTTTAAATGATTCTGAAAGACAAAGAAAGATATGAATCTTCTCTTATACAACCTGGCTTTAAAACAAACACCATATTACTGCCATACCTCAATGTACTCCTAAACTGCACCTGAACATACAACTCAGTACACATTACCCAAAGGTAAAGTAAGAATCAAGCTCATAGCATCAAAGTAGTTGAGCCTTTAGAACTCCGTAGATTTTTAAAGAAGAAAAACCAACAGGAAAACTTTGAAAACAAAGTGTTATTTAGTGGGGAAAAAAAACCCAAACCAACAACAAAACGAAACATACATGAGCAGACACACTTGCAATCAATATCAAAAAGAAATACATCCGTTGTTCAAAAGTGCAGAGATCTATACGACTTACATTGCTGCTGGAAACAAGGGCAGACCACAAAGATTTCCAAGACCATCTGAAGGAAGAAACACCCCCAAAAATACCACTTTTCTTCCCCAGAAAGGACAAAGAACCAATCAACAGGAACATTTAATCTTAAGCTCTCTTAACCTATCAGAAATCCGATTCTTCTCCCCAAGGAGAGACTTTAGCTCTGCTGTCAATGTTTCAAAAGTGACATCTGATGGTACCCGCAGTAGGTCCAGTAATAGAAGCATTAACTGGAGATAATAGAATAATAAACCCATTTATGAGGGCAGTTTAAACAGATCTGGCTAACCATTCACCTGATAAAAAGATCTGAATGCAGGATGAAGGTTTTTTTACACAAAAAAAAAATCCTCTAAAAAGACTGTAAGGGAACATCCCATTTTACTCAGATGCTAAAATTAAAAATAAACTGGGAAAGATGTTTGGCTAATAGTAAGATAAATAGCTAAGTGAAATCAATGACTCATACAAAATAGTATGCTCTCCATAGCAGAGAATATAACTCATGTAAATTTACTCAGCCTTCAGGGGTGCTTTAATTTACTCTGCTGGCATATAAGTTACTAGACATTAGAATAGCAGGTACTGAAGAACACAGAAAAATACTGACACAAACCCCAAACACATGTAAATAACTAACAGCAGAGAGATCTCATACACTAGTAAGTGATGAATTTACTAAACTATGGCATGTTAAACAACAAGCTACAAGTTTATTTTACCTGCTGTTGTTTCCTTTAAAGCAACATGACTTTTTGGTTTTGACTTTTTTTCCCAGTTACTTACTTTTAGTACTAAGTTATCTACCAAAGCATTTCAATATAGCTACTCACGTAGCTAAAGGGGCCTTCATGTCCTTACTTTCACTTGCATACATCAGTGAAGAAAGCCCCTGTAGGCGGTCTCCAGGAAAACCCAGCAGGTTGATGATTTTGAGCAGGTTTGGGGGCACCATGGATATGCAAAGATGAAAAAGTCCATATCCAAAGCTAACAGCACCTTTCAGTCTGTTTAGCGAATCCTCCGTTACACCTTCTGCAGCAATATGATTATCATTTGCAGCATCAGAAGTCAAGGATTCCTGAGTTGTTTTCTTCTGATATATTTCCTGAAGTGTATTAATGTCCGTATAGCACTTATTGTAAATTTTCCAGGCTTTTCGGAGTATCCACCCACCTTTTATGTATGCTAAAAGTCGAGGAAAAAAAAAAATATTTCAAGGCTGTATTTCAGAAGTGGAACATAGTAAGCAGAAAACGCTATTTCACAAATCCTAGGATTCTCTCTCTATTTGCATTAACTTATCATATAAAGGATTTTGTAATAGCTATTGTCCTCTCAAAGAGGTCTTTTATACTGGCAGTACAAACTTCAGTGCTTTTCAACCAGAGGCTTTAAAACAGCATGCAAAACAAAGGGACTTCCCTTCAGCTATGTAGCAACACAACCATCAGAAAGAAATAGAGAAGTTAAAGAACGTAATGCTGGATTCTGCTCCACTGTGAAGTGGAGATAAAATGGCTGCCTGGCGAACAGCAAGAATCAAAACTCAATGAAGACATTATACCTCTTAAGGCCAAATGATATTAAGACAGCTGATGGGAAAATACTAAGAAAACACCTTCCTTTGGGTTAGATAATAACATTGTCAACACCGTTAATTTCCCTGCTCCTCATATGAACACAGCACCTTATAATTAATAAATAAATCCTAAAAAATTAGTAACACAAGAATGCATAAATTTTATGGTTCTAAAATATTTTTCAGTTGCCTAACATCCTCAATTTCAAATGTAAGCTGGGACCCTAAATTTCCCTGAAAATCTGGTCTTCAGCATTCTCAGTTGAGAACGAGAGCGCTGTCAGTCTCGTTACCCTCTTTGCAGGAGGGTAAAGAAAGGCATGACACCAAAAGATGAAGATGTCCAATTTGCCTGTTTACACAGCACTTGTCTTGGTTATAGCACATCCCCGGATAAGGATAAGTGGTAAACAGAAAAACACGCACAAAATATACTCGTACGTCTTAGCTGTAAAAGCAGACACCAGCATTTTGTCTGTGATAGAGCCCTGAGAGTTAGGAACTGCAGTGACAAAGGATTTAACTAAAAATGAGAGAAAAATAAAGCATGGTTATAGCAGCAGTGTTCTAAACAGATATCACCAAACTTGCAGAGATCAGTGTTATAACTGAAGCCAGAATTAGATCATAACAGGTGGGGTGTGTCAAAGAAAAGGAAAACGCTATTAATACCAAACCACAAAGAGAGGCGGAAGCTAGTTTGATATTCCTAAGAAATCTCACTGAGAAAGACTGCAAAATTTGTATTCTCAGTTGCAACAGAAGGATTCTGTCAACATGAATTTAAAGTATTAACATGAACTTAAAGTATTAAAAAAATTAATCCTCTATCTTGAGTTCCATATTAAAGTACTATAATAAAAAATGTAAAGCCCTGCCATGATTCAGCTGCATTACAAGACTACCATTACTTCAACTTTAAGCAATTAGGTCACTTTTTGGCTGCACAGAATATTTTAAAAGTTATGCGGTTCACCACAAAATGAATGCTCATACAACTACACAGAGCAATTCAGCAGACAAATAATACCGAAAACCCCACATTTTACTTATCCTACGGATAGCGTTTCTGCTAATAGCTAACTACTGTGTTCTGATGCTTGCATCAAATAGAAAGGATATGTTGAAAAAAAGTATAGTTTTAGATTTTACTTCCATCAGTATGCTGTCATTAACAGTTCACTAACACAGCATAACCCTAATACATCTGATACACTAAGATAAAACAATCTAACAAAATAAAAGAATGAATTTCTGACTTTTCAAACATAAAAATTAAATCAAGCCCACTTACTGAGCTGATTTCCCAGCATGAACTTCTGAAAGTAGTCAGACCCATGACATCAGTGGTAAATACTAAGAAAAGGTAGTTCAATATTGCTGTGGGAAGCTAATATAAGTTGCTGTGTTACTAACTTTATGGTGAAGCTATTTGTAATACATCCATGAGGGTGGAAAAGAAAACTCTAAAATGTGTTAGGCATATGAGAAAGCAGCTTGCATGTCATCATTTGCTTCTTGTCAAACTGTTCCAGGAAGAAAAACAGAAGAAATTTTTCATCCATCCACTGATCAGAAATACTTGTCTACCTCTGAAGAATGCTTTTTTTTTTTTTTTACTCATTTCAATAATCTGGTTGCTACTTCTGTTTTTATCATGTTTCTGTACAGAAGATGTTTATACATAATCAGAAAGACAATATACTCAGAAAACTGAAATAATGGATCCAACAGTTCAGCAACAACAGTAACTAGCAGTCACTGAGTTGGCATTTAACTGCTTGAAATTTTAACTAAAGATTTCAGGTGTATTTTTCACTTAGTAAAGCAACCCAAATATACTGCATGTTCTGCAGTACTCTGCTACCCACTTCAGTTCTCTGAGCAGCAGACAAGAGAGAAAGAGAACAGACACCACTGTCAGTTACAGCATCCAACCCAGTTATGCTGCTGCAGAATACACACTGAAATAAGGAAAAAGCTTCAAAAGGGTGGAAAAACCCACAAATGAAAACCCAGAACTGCATCAAAAATAGTAAGAAAACCTTTCTGCAGCACTACATGCACAGCAGACAGAAATACCCCCTGAATTTCTGCTAGCTAGAACCAAATGCATTCTTGATGCCATGGCTTAGAAGAAACCAAGTCTGCACATCACAGAAAGCATTATGTCCTTGACTGACATTCCTAGAGTTATTTTAAATAATCTGAATGTTATTTCCCCAATTCCTTTCAGCTGATCAGCAGGGTTTTCAGTGACAATCTGGTCTGACTGTCATCTCCTGGTCTTCATTGATTTGGAAAGAACCTGGGAACATGCTGAATTTGTATATGACCTCAACCACATTTTCTATAAACTCATGGATAAAGGCATGTTTTAAGATTATGCAAGAGATCCAGAAATGCAAGAGAACATCAGAAACAGCTTTGTAGCTGGGACAAGGAGGTTTGTATTCAACACGACAGGATGAACCTCTTTGGCATGCAAGGATGCACTATGGTGACCAGAGAATAAGAACTTATTCAGCAGTTCCATCTTCAACACGTTTCATTTAAAATTACTTTCACTGGCAGTTTGTCATCTCCCTGAGTTGTCATGAACATAATGCATATGGACTATTAGGATTTTCCTGGTCGCCTGGACTCATAGCCTCTTTTATCTTGCAGGCCACACGAAGCGTGCAGATGCTACCCATCTTTGTACCTACTCCTTAAATGCCTCTATGGGAGCATGCAAAGGATTCCAACCTATCTAAGGTATGAAAAAAGGAGAAAGCTGTAATCTGTAGCAATCCAACTCATTTTATGATACTACTACCTATACAAAGGTAGAACAATACCTCTGCAAGTGTACCGATCTTGCAATGTTTCAAATAGAACTGCGCTCTTTCTTACAAAGCAATTATCTTTACTGATAGTCATATTGCCACTTTATGATCAAGCTTTATTAAAAAAGCTGTCATGCAATAAATATATCTAAACATTAAAGCCACAGCACACCTGATAACTCTTGTTTTACAAACGAGAGCACAGCCAAGTAGACTTGACAGTCTGCTACAATTATTTGTCTTTGCAGACGATCTATCATGGATAGAGTGGATTTTCGTCCATCAACCTGTTTGGAATATACAAACACAGAGCATAGAAAAACGTTAACAAAGATAATACAGAACACTGGTCTAATCATGACAAAAGATCCAAAAATAACTACAAGTGATAGTATTGCTACTAAATTAACACAGCATTTTGAAGCGGAAAACTATGCTAAAAGTTCTTTGACAGCTCATCAAGCAAGCTACTACTTAATAAACATATGCTATCAACTATTTTTCTTAAGATTCTACAAATACTCGGAACAGATTTACATTTCATTTGATTATTACTAAATACATCAGACATGCAACTAAAAGATGTTAGACAGAAGAGCACAGAAATGGGTATATGACAAGTGGCAGGGAAAATACAGTGCCCAAGAGCAGAGAGTTAAGTATGTCAGGTTCAATACTTTTTAGTGTACTTACTAAACATTGAAGAGAAATAGCTTCTTTTTCTGCTGTAGGTCTGCTGAGTCACACTAGGCAGGCCACTCAACATTTCTATACTACTACTTTAACTAGTTCCCAATCTGCATGCTTTATTCTTCCTTCATTATTTAGAATCAAAAATCTAAAAATGGAAGGAAGATTCCCTAGGAACATGCCTGGCACACAGCACTATGCAGCCTCAATTTCACAACTTTTGAACATTACTAGAGCACATATGAATCAAAATTATCCTGAATTAGAAAGGCTATAAGCTTCCTCAAATAATTTTAGTAGATCGCCGATTTGAGATGTTAAGAAAGTAATTACTAACATCAACACAACCTGCTGCTTTAGAAGATAAAATAACCAGACTTGGGTAATTCATGAAACTTAGGAAGTCTAAGCAAAATATTTGACTTAATTTCTAAATTTATTATTAATCTCAACTGCTCTTTGCATATCAAAAATATTTTTAAAATACAAAGAAGACAAACAAAATTTCCAGAAATATTTGTCCAACACACAATTCCATATTTATAATGTTCTTACATTCTTTTTAATTTTATTCTTGATTGTTTCTATAACTCCAGCTTCTTCACTTTCACAAAGTTTCTCTGTAGCCTTTAAGTCATCACACGCCAGCTGCATTTTCTCTTCTTCAAATGTCATCATGGCATTCTACCAGAAACCAAACATATTTGAATGATAAAAATCACAAATATTTTTATTTCTACAAAAGCTACAGGACAGTAAAAGTTTTCATAAAAACTTGTCAGTAAAACTTACTGGTTTTTTTTCTTAAAGCCTATTAATGCACGCACAGGTCAGTACACATACTTCTACACAGAAACATCAAACTAGAGATTTGAGAATGCTTTATCAAAAATTTCAAGACAAATCAGAACATACTAAGTCTTGCCCCCTTGTCTTAACAAAGCTTCATAGGCAGTCAAACTGAATGAGCTGTCACATTACATTAGCGGAAGAAAAACTTATATAAATTAATTTTCAATTATTGTTACATAAGGGACAATTTGCATCTGTGCAGATACTGCTTTTTGTACAATTCATCCACATAAACAGCAGGCCTCCAAAGTCAGTAACAAGTAACTGCTATTGCCTTTTTCAAAATAATAACCACAATTCCTACATATGTAGGAAGGAAAAAAAAAAAAAATAAATGCATCCAACTCAAACTACCGCTGAACCAATTTAGAAAGAATTTCAGGACAAGTAACTTCTTATCTTGATGCTTTATTAAACGAAAGCTCTGAATGACACAGGCACACAAAGTGCTGCTGCTATGTTTAGAACAGTAGCTAAGCAAGATATTTTCAAGATCCACTGATGCTGCACTGTGATGTTACACTGGTTCAGTGCATCAATTCAGATAAGCAAGCCTGAGAGATTCTCCCTCTTTTCTTCCCCCTCTCTGTGGACTTAAAAGCAAGCACATGCCCCAGGAGGTTTCCTAACCAATATATTTTTTCATATTGCCTGGTCCTCAGACCCTAGAGAGAATTTAAATTAATTTCATTTACAACTTAGCTATTTCCGGCATATTATAATAAATTCTCTCTTTAAAAAGAGTATTACCATAGATAATTTCTGGTGCACTCTTAAGATTATGCAGCAAAATCAGAATAAAGACAGTCCAAAAAACAAGATCCAAGCATTTTCTAACACACCTGCTCAGTTTTTATGGAAGATACTCCCATTTTTAATACATTAAAAAAAAAAAAATAAAATAAAAGCATTTAACAGACCTAACTTGCTCATTATGACTCTTTAGTCAGCCAATATTCTCGGTTCTTACATATTCAAAAAGGAAGCAATGTGAATGGATTGAATTAACAACTTTCTCCCAGCAGTATGAAGAAATTTTCAATAGCAAAAGCCATCAGGAAAATGGCATTTTTGAGTATTATTTTAATAATACCTCCACTGCTTATTTAAGAGGGTTTTGTTATGGCTCTTCGAATGGAACACATAAATATTTCATACATTTTAGAAGCTGAATCACAGAACCTTTATTTTCTATTTAAACCACATGAGTAAACAAGTTTTATATAACATAATGACTTGTTTTCTAGCTACATTTAATCTAAAACTTTGAAAAAATTCAGTCTCATAAAAAGAAACAAATTAGAGTATCCATTGTTATGAACACACATGCACATACAAACATTAACCACAAGAGAAGAGAGGCACACTCTCTACTCCCAGCTACTCACCAAAAAGCTGACAAAACTGGCTCCAAAGCTCATTAGTGGGCTATGGCTTCTGTAAAGTAAACAAAATGCAGTTACTATATGCACACATATTTCCTACCATAAAGATAAATATTGCATTTCTTGATTTTAACTTACATATCTGTAAATAAATCTTTGGGTTTTTGTATCAAGCTACAAACAAATGTTCTATCATTCTGCAAGATATAACAGAAATGGAAAGCCAAAAACTTCCTCATTTTCACTTACTTGAATATATCTTTAAAAAAAAAAAATTCAAGAATTAAGCTGCAGATATTTTTTTTTAAGAGAAACCACTGCCATCAAAACAGATTCAGTACAGGTAAAAAAATTAAGAGCATCAGAAAATTAAAAATCCACTAATTCTACTCTTTGTGACCCATCACGACAATTTTGACCTAGCAGACAAGTGTTAACTGGTTCTATTAAGAGATTCCCACTTCCCCCTGTTCCTATTAATTTAATCTACTCTACTCAGATTTCAGACAAATGCATATGCCACATAATATAAATTGTCGGAAATACAAAATTCTTACAAGGTTTATGACTTTATAGCTGTTTTGTTTCAAGCCCAGAATACATATCTTACTGCACTATGTGGAATAGTTTTAAGATGTTTCACCTATGCTGTTTGCAGGGATATTCCAAAAGGGTGAAATCAACTGCTAGATTAAAAAATGTAGGCAGCCAAAATCTTGGTAATATATGTGACAGGTTTCAAGCTTCAGGGCTATTATAGCCTATATATTCCCCTTCTCCGGAGATATTCAAAACCCGCCTGGATGCAGTCCTGAGTAACGTGCTCTAGGCAATACTGCTTTAGCAGGGGAGTTGGACTAGATGATCTCTAGAGGTCCCTTCCAACTCTGAAAATTCTGTGATAGTCACACAGACCAGGAGGCTCCAGCAATGTCATATAGAAGGCATTTAAAAAAAATAAATTCAGGATCTCAGCAGTATCACTGATCCACACTGTTTAGCAGTGGGCTGACAGGTTAGATGTCCACATGAAAACATCCCCACTGGAGTAAGGATAAAATATATATAGCAGTCCAGAAGAAAAAATTATATACAAACAATTGACTTTCAGGATATAAGAGGTGGGAACATTTACGCTACAGGTACATATATTGCTACAGTACAGTAGTTATGCTGTTTCCAACCTAATTCGGCAAGCATCAGAATAAAGCAGAGTTTTAAAATAGGACAAGCACTTGAAAAACATGGAGAAAATAGTATATTGTTTATTAGAACACAAATTTCCAATAGTAAAGCTGCCTTATAATACAAGAGAGTTTTGGGTTTTTTTTTTTTTTAAAGGCAGTCATCAATATTCCCCCCTCTCGCTTCTCACTTTTTGATTTAGAATACTAGCTAAAAGCCAGGACACGAACAAGAAAGAAAAAGAAAGAAAAACCAGGAAGATAAACACAGCAAGTTAGAACAGAAAAACCTTCCCATTTTATATACATCACTCTATTCTGGATATACATATAAATGTAAGATTGACATAACTTGTCACATTTTATTGCCTTTTTTTAAAACAAAAAAAAAAAGAAACATAGGTTAGGTATTTTCCCCTTTATTGGCAGGCCAACAAGAACAGCTGCCAGTAAATGCCTCCGCTATTCAGTACCTGGACTGTTCTCTACCAACAGCTGTGTTACACAGAGCAGTAGGAATCAGCGACACAAGTTGTACTTGCTGCAGCTGGCACCTGCAGCATGAACTCTTGCTGCAGAGGGCACATGGTGCTCTCATAATCCACTTTTCAATCCACGAGGCACGCAGGACCCATTCAGCAGCCAGTCTTATCACCCTACTCTACAGCACGTAACATCCATCATATGTTTCAAGGTCACACCTACTGCATTATCAACACCCAATGGATGAAAAATTGCAGAACAGATCAGCACAAGACATTTTTACATTTATGTCTTTATGTATGAAGTCACACTTGCATCACACTTTCAAGAAAGCTCAAAGATAAATCAAACATTTCATTTGTGAGCTTTCTTAGATCTACCTACACAGATAGAAAGTAGTTCTGGGGAGGCAAAGCAGGTAGGTATCTCTAGATAATCAATCTTTCATACTGAAGTCCATTCAGAACAGAAAATTGTCAGAGAAAAACTGTTTAATCAGGGTGAATTAAGTGAAGTCAACCACAACAGTCTTTGAATATAACCAGGAAAAAAAAAACAAAAAAGCATATAATAAGAAATAGTTAATCAGGTTTGCACTTTTCAGTAAGATTCTTAAAACACACTTCTTGAATATTATGTCTCCATCCACACTGAAAATTTTACTTCCCTACCAGGAATGGATCCAAAGAATTTATTTTAATGGAATAACTAAAATTTGAGCATCTGAACCCCTGTGAAAAAATTACTTGTAAAACTAAGTATTACACTCTCACTAAAATTTTGCGCAATAGGAGTAAGATTTTAAGGTGGTTTTTTTAACCCTCTGAAACATGCATAAGCAAATAAAATAAGCTGAGCAACACATGCATTTAGCTCTCAGAAGAAAGTAGCATCCAGGCATTCCTTAGGAATTGGCAAGAAAGATAGGAGTTTTATCAGCAAAACAAATACAAGTTAAATACTGTGGAATTTTAGAACAGTAAAAGTGTTGCATATGAAAACATTTGAAGTTCCAGACTATTTTTCATGTTCTATCAATTTATAAAAGAGATCCTCTTGTTGCAGAAATAGCTACTGAAGCTTTAAAAAAAAATAAATATATCAGCTTCAGAGGTAAACTGATTCTCTGTCTATGGGGACAATATTTTCAAATAAAGCAACTTGAATAATGGCCATGTTTGGGAGTGAAACCACTAAAACTGAATAAACAGGAACATAGTTGAGAATCAAACAGCATACGTGAGTCAAAATGTTGCAGATTAGTCCTTTTTAAGTTTCAGTCACTCAGTCTATAAAAAGCATTGTCATTACAGCACATATGGGCTGTAGCCATAAGGACCCTGAAGCAAGAAAACATGATGCATAATAATACACGATGTCTGGGAGATGCTTCTGCTGAGACCACGGGGTTTGGCAATCAAAACGAACGCTTTACTGCAGGAGCTCCTCACACAGAGTTTGTGTCACCACTAAATGAAATACGGAACGCTTCTACCATATTCCTACTTAGTCACTGGATAGAGACTATAGTTGAAGCTTTATGGAAGATCACTTGTTAAGGTAATTTCAGTATTTACCATCCTTTTTAAACAACAACCACGTTTAGTGCTCAATCTTTGCAAATATTATGTTGACTAATAAATAAGTTCAACAGTTTAGTGTTATCTTTTCTTTGAGAGCTAGGAAAGAAGTTTGAGTTTGCAATGGCACAGTACTGTCCCAGAAAACACTAAGGCATGAGTAATGATGACAGTAAGTTTCTGAGAAAAGCACAATTCCATAAAAATAACCCTCAGCTCAAACTCCTTAGAAGTGACCTTCAGCACCAGACATCATTTTACATCTTTTGACAGATTCCAAAAAGCTGTTAAAATACAAAAAAAATAAATAAGGAGACACTTGATAAAATACTAACAGCAGACCAATGGCCATATTGATGTTGACAGGAGTTATGGAACTGAATACAAATGAACATTGGGACACTGCACTACACAAGCTGCCCTCACTACTTTGAAGCAATACCCTCCATTAAGTGGAAAAAAAACAAACGCCAAAACACACAAAACCAACAAAAACCCCACAAAACTTAATACTTTTAATTAGATGAAGAAAAGATGAAGAAAAATTCAGTCTCCAGACATATTTTCCAAAATACCGTTTGCTCCTCACCTATCAAACTAGGACTCAGAAGATACCTTTATTGTAAGAAACCCTGCTACCAACACCATTTCTACAAGATACCACAGTAAGAGGTCATACATATCAATAAAGTTAATATGTATAACTAAACTTAAGTCATAAGATTATCAGCACTGAAGTAGACCTTTCTTCTGGGTACATAAACTGGTGTTATACGAGACACTGCTTCTTCCAATAAACCCCGATTAATTCATTTAATTTCACAGCATATCTTTAAGATGTTAATTCACTTTCAGAAGAAAGGTGTTTGCCATGCCCCACTTTCACACAATGACAACATTCAGGAATTTTGAGCCTTGGTTTAATAAAGCTGTAATAATACAGCCTAATTTTACAATTAAAAAAAAACAAACCAGAATTGAAGCACATCGAAAGAAAAATCACTTACTTCTCAGTATTTTCTTTTTTCTACAGTCTTTTCCACAATAGTATTTCACTTCCAAATACATCAGCTTCTAAAGCTAGCTCAGGTTTAAATCTAAGTAATGTAATTAAACCATCAACATTTCCTCCCACTTTTCTAGACACTGCTTCTTTAACCACAGTCCACTAAAAATTCCAGTCATCATACTGACAGCAATGCTCAAGTTGAAACAAAACAAATTATTTTCCTCCAAAGTGGAAGAGTAAAGCATAATGAAAAATTAAGAATTCATGTAAGTTCACAGATGAATATAGAAGCAGCTACTGAATATTTTAAAAGAAGCAGAAATACGTATAACCTATATATATAGGTAGGGAATTTACTGCAACAACATACAAATCTTTTGGTCATTGTTCCATCACAGATTATTCTAGAATATATTGTAAAAATTATTTGTGAGGCTACAAACATAAGACAGATCTTTACACAAGTACACATCTCATCCAATATTGATATATGAAATAGCTAAGGCAATTTAAGTGCAATTACAGTATTAAGACACATTGAGAACTGTAAATGTCACGTTTAGGTTTAGTTTAGATTTCACAATCACCCCAAATTTGTTTTAATTGTCAAATGAGCTCTTAGCATACACTTCTATTTTCACTAGAAATACACAACCAAAAGACAAATTCAAGAATATAAAAAGAATGGCCCTGCCCCATACAGTTTTTACCCGATTTGTTTTGTCCTTCTGCAAATTAACTGGGGATTGTTTTGCTCTAACTTCAGGCTGTTAAATTTAGATGCACAAGAATATC